TATTATAAACAAAAAGGCAGAAGAGAAACAGTTTATCCCTTTAAAACGCCAAGCATTTAATATTTAACTAGCATTTTCATGTATGGAAATATTAATAAACCACTTATGTTTATAGTTTAGACGTTTACAAGTATTTAACAACATACCATAAAACTTGCGTAATATCGTGTTTTGTCGGCTTTTCTCACATTATCAGCATAAGAATGATAAAATATGAAACGAAAAGCGACTGAAAAGAAGAGTTCAAAAAAATATTAGCATTATCTAAAATCAGAAATTAGGTGTTGAAAGAAATATTTTTTTCACACTGTCACTTTGTTTGATGTTTATTTTTCCTGTACGAGTTAAGGTGATAATGAGTTAAACAAAGCAATTAGCGGCGCGTCCAATCAGCGTCTTGTGCGCTAACGTGCCGGTCTACTTCAAAGAAGGCGCTGTCAAGGCAACAAGTACTTGACCGCATGTCAATCCTCTACAAACGCCAGCGGCTAAATTTTTACAAAACTGTTATTCAATTTTTGTTTTGCTTTGATTGTAGTAACCTTTGATGAAAACAGTAATTTATTACATAAATCGTCTATTCGGTTAAAAATAATATTTCAATTTTTTTCGTTCAGTCAAAAAAAAAAAAAAAAAAGAAGAAAGAAAAGAATTTAATAATGAGAGTTTTTGTAAATCCTGGTAAGTGATCACTTACATGGGTGGATTACCTAACATAAGTTGTTGCAGATCAGCAGTTCTGATAGCTTTAAAATATTCGCTGCCACGAAAAGCTATGTACATTTGTTTTATTGTAAAATACATATGTAAAAATATTTTAATATTTTGCAGAATTATTGATAAGATCATGCCGTAAAAATTTCATTACATAAAGAAATTGCCTTGTGTGGGTATTAATTGAATAGACTGAGAGAAGTATTGAACTGTGGGGCCACACTGCGTGTAGATATGCAGTACTTAAATGGATAAATGGTTATTACAACCTTGTTATTGCATGCTTCTTAGCCAAGAATAGTTAAATTTTATACGCAGACATATCTTTAAATATATAAAGATGTACCCGGTTATGTTTATAAATTCTGAAGGTATCTGTGCCTTGGTTAAGTGTATAATTTATGTTACCAGTAAATTTAAATAAATAAACTGATAAATCTGTCGTTTACGATCTTTTAACATGTTCATTGAGTGCGATGTCTAAAAATCTTCAAATTTCATGTCTAATTTTAGAATATGTAAATAAGAGAAATGCATTAGCAGAGCTTCTACACTGAAAGAGGATCTGCCTTTTGTATTTTTCTGTTATCGGACTATCGTTCACCTTCACTAATATACTGAAACATTTATGTATTTTACAATTTTTATAAACGTAATAAATAAGTACATTGCCATGCAGGGGGAGTTTTTTTTTTACTTCTGTTTACATTACAGCACAAAATATCACTGAAATCTCAATTTTAGTCCGAAATGGTGATTTTTTAAAAATCAAATATTAGCATATGATGATAAATTTGACCAACAGTTATCTGAAGGCTACAGATTGTTTTGGAATGACACAACGCCATCTACAAGTAGTTGGGTATACCTAACACCATCACACGCCTTGGCCTTGACGTTTAGCTACCAACAAAACTTCCCTTCTACAGGGAAATATGAAATTTATCAAAATGAAATGTAATATGGGACTGGTATAGCCTTGCCCGGTTCCTATAACGGGTGTAAGGACTCGGGTTTCACGAGAAGGGGTTGCTCGTTTCTGACACGGGTAGACACCAGGACCATGGAGCCCTTTAGGGCTTTGTAAGGGGCACAACAAGATAACATCTCACATATCTTGCTATGTAGAGGTCAGCGTGCGTGTTAACTAGATATAAACTCGCTGAGTAACACGGAACATCGGAAACCTTGTCCGGTGTTTTCATTTATAAATAAAAGTGCGTAGGTGTACGGTTGAACACCGGTAGATAAGCGGTATTGCAATTTTAATGTTTTCCGTCCAAGATGTAAACATTAAAAATGAAAAAAATAAATAACAAACAAAAAATGTAAAACTAGAAAATAAAACAGCACTGAAAAGGAAGAACTCAATACGCGTTCAAGACACTAAGGTTAGGAGAAAGACAACAGGTGATGTAATCGTATGTTATGAAAAGTGAAAAAAAAGCGTTAAACCAGTTGCCCACACCGGTGTGAGAATGCAGTCTTTGTAACACGGACACGTTTTCACATCTGAATGTTTACTCTACGCACGCTAACACCTCGTGATAATGCTTGCTTTATATATCAAAACCAAATTATAAGATATACTATCTATGTTACCTGAAGGTTCTACCTGTAAATATCTCAATCAGAAAGACATGTCACCCACGGCAATAGGTAGGCGACAAGTTGAAAACCAGATAACCAAAGTTGTATAATTAATTTATCGTTACAAAAAGCATACCCGGCGATACGTGGTCAGTATCGGGCCAGTACTGGTCACTCTCAACGTGTCCCTAACACCTTGAACACGATAACGAGATGTTTGACCATGTATGGCTCAGGGCTCTGATTAAATGATACTTCTTTACCACACGTTTATCGTACAACATATCTAAGGTTAGAGCCTCATTGACCTGGTCGAATTGTCCGCAGTCCTATAACACTGTCTATACTATAGTATAGACACTTCGGTGTCAATGGATGGACAAAGAAATCTGGAAAAATATTTTGTTTGTAACAAGTTGAAGAGGTTTTAGAGGACCCCGGGTATAAAGAGACTTGATGAAGAGTGTAAAAGGCTGCCCATTGATCACGAAGGCTAACCGAAAAATGCGGAATAATTTAGCTTAAGTATATTAAGAACGAGTAAATGTCTGTTTCTGCAAGAAAGTAAATTTTCAAGAGATGAATATTTTAATTGAAATATTTGAATTTTAAGTTAATTCAACGTATCAGTCGAAGAGCATTAAGGAAGACAAGTTATACTGTACTTGTCCGCCTTACAATCCCACCTCTAACGTCTGGTGCCAAGAATATATTCAAACTAAAAGCGAATAGTAGACGGAGTGATGGATACGTCAAAACCCTGCCCCTACCTCTCCATCACCATAGTGCGTTATAATGTTGGAGCCGACCTTAAGATCGAGAACTGGCGCCTGACAGTAATCACGTGTTATGTGGACCACGTAATGTATGACAGAGTGATATAACAGTGGAGATAATTCTCCAAAAATGGCGAATTATTTCTAATTTCCTAATCAATAACACACGAGGTATCACAATCGATAACCACTGGTAGCTACCATACGACTAGGCAGCCGTTTCCGCTGCCATTGATTCCGTGAAATCACATCTGAAAAACCGATATTCGATAAAATGAATGAAAATAACACTTAATTTGCCCAAATTCCCTATCATTACTAAAAACCTCCCAATTTTCCGCAAAAATCAATGCGTGTATTGTAGGATAAACCGTTATTTGTCTCGATTCCACGGTAAATACCCCCTCTTTTAGGTCCCGTTGCCTGGTCTCTTGTCAAATAAATTAACTATGAAATGTTAAAACAAGTAATCAAGGTCTATTACGAAATTTTAAGCCTTGGCATTGTAGAAAATTGCATATAATCAAGCAAAATTTTGCTGTTGACAAAAGTAATAGTTTTGGTGTAATCGAAAATGCAAAGTATCGGCTGCCTGTTGAAAATAAGCGTTCTGAGGTAAATTGGCCAATTTTAGTCTAAGATATAAAGAGTTGGGGCCTAGTCCAAACCTGCATCGGGACCAGTGCACGTTCTGGATACTACACGCGCCCTTCCGCATCATACTGTCTATATTTGTAAAACACCATACCTACCTGTGCTCTTGGATGCTTAATATTTTCCGTCGTGAGGAATGTATACACTGACTGTTATCTTGAGTAACAAATTTATTTTTCATTATATCATGTGGATTTCGCAAAGATGTTACTATTTCACTAGAGAATGTTTTCTGGGAAAATACGATGGATACTTGTGAATTTATAAATTGGATTAATATTCATTCTGGAATCTATTTTAACTTGACTACCTGAACTTTCTAAAAAAAAAGTGGTTTGCATAATAAAATGCTCGCAATCTGGATAACGGCAGAACAGGAACCAATGGGATTTCTCCATTTCATAAGTTAATTTAAAATACGGAATGTGCCCTGAGGGATTTTCTGTGGAACGATCAATTTTGTTGCGCTTCGTACGTTCGCCTCTCACGTTGTCTCCGAGATTTTGTAATTTTGTTGGAACGGTAAGATAAACGAGAACCGTGATTTTAATTAGTGATTATAATTATGTGTATGAATGGTGAAATTTATTGTTTATTATTTCTCCTACTTTCAAATGGTTAAATTGTGTTAATTACCCCCGATGCCCATTTGACTGCTAATTTAAATATCACTCCCGGAAAAAGTTAACTCCACAATATTTAAAAAAAAAAAAAAAAAAAAATGAAATATCAGTTGAATTACGCGCCATACACTAATATTGTGAAAGAAATTATTTCAATAGATGTCCTTTCATTTAGAACTTGAAATGAATTTTGTGTACATTAGAGAAATCTTTTTATTATTTGAATACAAAGATATGTGCATCAAACGACTTCCTTTTATTAAACTTTTTGAAAAGAATATTTGAACAATCTATAAGACGATAATGTACAGACTTTTATTAAGATTACTCGGTGGGAAATCACCAGGATATATCAGAACTTTATCAACTAGGAGTCATTTTATGAACTTCATTTTGTTTCAGATAATTTTTCACGGCATAAATGTTTAAATTGTTTACACGATTGTTTTTAATTAACAATTAGTTTTAATATGATTTGACAAAAACGTTTGGTTCTATGGAAGGAAACTTTTTTGCCTTTAATGCCTTAATAAAAATATCCCGACACATGACAGCTGAAAAAAATCAAAGCAAAAAAGAAATTTGCCGTCGGAAAACAATGGATGAAAAATATTAGTATAATGAAAGTGTAGATGGTGCTAACCTGTGTCTGGGTGAGACCTAGAGAGGCGGCCAGTTCTGCCCTCTCGGGGAGGGCGAGATACTGAGTCCTCTGAAACCTCCTGTTCAGCTGTTGAAGCTGAAGGCTTGAGTAAATGGTCCGGGGTTTTCGCATCTTCTTTCCTTTGCCATTAATTCGGAGTTCCTCCATTTGTGACTTATCTGTAATGTATAATGACACCATATCGCCGTAAAAATCTGATGAGAGAAAAGAAAAAAAACAAAGCATTAGATATTTGTACACACTCAGACTACAAAGTAGAGGACAAACAAGAGAGACCGCAAGGGCTGAAATGAAGATGATCTGCAATGAAGTATTTTTTTTTAAATAAAAATTTGCAGGAATAAAGATAGAATATTGGGATAACCAGTTGTATATAAGCTTTTTATAAGTATCAGAGTTTATTACTATTGTGTTATTTCATATTCAAATTTTGCGGTATTATTTTAATATTTTTCCGTATTTATTAAATTATAAAACTTAACTATTTGATTTATAATGTAACATAAGACATCACATTAAAGTTAATTCTATAATTTATTATGTTTCTGTATATACATATATATATATATTGTTGCGATGTGGTTTAAATTTGTTTCTTTTTTTTTGTATTTCAATAATTTAACCAAATATTATTATTGACGAGGCAATAACATTGTAATTTATGTAAAATTATTCTTTAGGATCTTAACCAAGTTGTTAATAATTTAAGGGTCGTTTTTAAGATAAACTTTATAAATTATTTTGTACGAAGTAATTTTTCCTTATCACTGATATCACAGAAGATTTGATGATCGAAATTGCCCTTTGTCACAAAAACTTTAAACATTGTTTCATTTAAACACCTGAAATACTGGAAATAAAATACTAAAACTCAGTCTACACATGTAAATTTTTCTCTCTTTTTTTAAGGTCGTTGTATCTCGGGTGCTATATAGAAAAATCGCAGGGTATGACATTGGATTTTAATGTCCACAACAAAGCTTACAGACACTGACAGATATATAACTATTAATTCGATTAGAACGAAAACTAACACACATGCTGAGCTGTTGATATTGTGGGCATAAGTTTTCAAAACTATGTAAATATTGTGTGTGTTTTATTTACATTAGCTCTAAAACTGAGCATTCCAAATGTGAATGAAATATTTAAAGCCTAATTGATTTCTGTAATCATTGTAGAATTTTGAAGCGACTTAAATTGTTCAAGTAGAAATTCGATAAAATTTCAGAAGATTTCTTTAAATTTTGTTGTGTATAAATGACGATACGGAATTGAGAATTGTTACATTTTTTCCGGTTTACTTTTTAGATACATTGTGATTGGCTTGATTTCCTAATGTGGGGGAAAACGTCACCTTTGTTGTAAATAAAATAAATAGGATGTTTTACACGGAAGGAAAGAACTAGATGGTGACATTTCTGTGTGTGATTATTTGATACAGAATTCAGCATGTACGTCTCTTCTATAAATGTGTTCACTGATCGTTTCAACCTCGTACAGTTCCCTGGCTGTCAACATGTCAGACTTTCACGGTGCTTATGTTACTGTGTGAAATTTGAGTTAGGTTTCACAGGCCAAGGAATTTTCCATACATCTCACATAATCCTTATAAAAAAATCAAGTAACACTGCAACAAAAGAATGTTTACCTATAAAAAAAATCCAGACGTTTCCAAATAAATACATCGGCATTTCCTAAAACATTTATGCTCGTCTCGTATTAAATTATTGTGTCTGAAATATTGAATTATGACAAAACTTTCGATGATTGTGAAAAACTTAAAACCGTCATTCTGGGTCGGCAGGATGGTGGTATGTTTTGCAAATACCGTTTTGATTCTGTGTTTAGTGATGGGCGAAGTTTTAACAGACAGAAAATGTACCCAATGCATGTTAACGATTTCAGGTAATATATCAGGCATGGAAAAAAACCATATATATCTACAGTGTAATGTGAGGGAGATCACAGAAATGTTTATGTGAAAGTCACATACTCTAACTTCCTCAGGGTTAACACTGACATGATTTAATCAGATTGACACAAGCTAAAACATCGTATTCACTTCAGGTAGGGAAATTTTTAATCAAGCAAAAGATCTTACTTACTAAAGGTGACTTTTTGTTGTCGTACGAACTAAAAATACTAAACAGTACAGTCATTCCATCTACCGACGGTTATTGTGGTTGACGGGAGGGGCACAAAGGACCAGGTACACATGTTACAATAGTAAGGGTTAAAAACTAAAGCCCCCTTTTCTCTGGATGAGTACCCATAAATAAAAAAAGGTTAAAAGCAATAGAATAAGGGTACATTTTGTTATAGAGATAAGAAAAACACTTGATGATCCTTGAAACAACAGAGAGAATTAGTAAACAGATTAACCTAGCTAGCTCACACTTGTAATAATTTATTTTAAGTGAGTGTTTAGGACGGATTATAACGGGTACGTTAAACTGGTTATCATAAACAAGTTAAGAGATTAAGGACAGACAATGACCTATTGTGATCAGACCTGATCATCATAATTAGTTAATCAACGAATCACACAGATGAATATGCAGACGGATAATTACGGGACAAACTCGTGTAGAAATTCTAACCAACTTACCTTCTCGTGTTGGCGAGGGGCTCTGGTACGGTGGCATGGGGAAGGGATGCGCCGCGGGGGGCTGGTAGGACGAAGGGGACATGGCATTCATATGAAAGGGGTAAAGGGGTCGACCTTGCGAGTTACTGAAGACACTGTCTCCGTGTTGTCCGCCATGATGATGCTGATAAGAGGAACGGATGGGGTATGCTGGGTGTCCCATTCCAGGAGGCATACCCGCCTGCTGCTGAAGTTCCATGAACGCCGACTTTCCAGACATGTCCTGTTCCAGACCGTCCACTCCACCAACGTTCAACATTTTCAGGTTGTAGGGTTGTTGAACTTGAAAATCCAGAATGGCAGTTTTCGTATGTCCGTGAAATGAAATGATAGGATAGAAACTTCCACAAAATTAAATCAACATTAGAAATAATGTCTGTAAATGTTTTCAAGTTGATAAAAAATTAAGTATATCAATCACACATCGATCTAGTACTGTAGTTTCCTGTCAAAGGTCCAATAGTCTCCTTTACAAACGATTAAAGGTAATTTAGAGATAATACAGGGGAAGCCGTGATCATGTGCTCGCACTCTCTCCAACTCACTATTTAACTGCGATTACCGTCAGTCATAACCCTACAGTTAAATCAACAGACGGTGCCTAAACACAGCAATACATACATCAACTCAGATAGGCCCCGCCCCCACCCTCAATACCTCACTCCCATTGGCCAGTTACGGTCGAGTTGCCGTTCACGGTGACAGGGAAGTGTGAAAGGACAATAGCGATTCCGTCTGACACAAGGTACTCAGGATTAAAGTCCTCGTTATGAATTAAAAAAAATACTCGGGAATCTAACTGTGATTTTAAATAATGAATTCTAGCTGTAACAACGACTCCAGTATGAAGTACTCTTAACGACACCCAAGCTAGACAAGGAGTAACTGGGTGTTTCTGTTATTATTAAGTTTTCTCCTCATTGTTGACTAGTTTTATTTTGATCAGTCACATGCTAGATGATTCGAGTGGACAACTTCAGCACAAATTAGCCAGATTAAACGTATGTGATAATAGGAATACACGGATATTGTACAGGAGGACGGTAGTTGTTCTACTTGTGTATTTTGAGTATGTAACAAGGTCAATGTTACAAGTAGGCTGGGACAAGCAAGAGAAACCGTAGATTTATCAAAGTAAAACGAATATAGAGGCGACGAAAGGGTTCGTTTCTTTTGTTGTTTTCAGTGCGACATAGCTGATACCCGCCTCAGCAGACGGTGGTTCACGCTAAAGTGGCGCCACGGCGAACAAACCTTCCTCCTGATCAGAGAGTTACACGCGATACGAAGGTACGGCCAGCTAGGGACTGGCTAGCTCTAGCCGAATTTTCACATTTTTATGTCTGTAAAAAGACCGCGTTCGCCTAACTGCCTTTTCTGTCTGGCTACCTAACGGGTATTTGAAGTCATAAAACCAATACGGGTGGCTTTTCACACACAAATTCTAAAGAAAAAGAAGAAAAAATGTTTAAAATCCCGTCGTTTATTTTATTGATAAAAGATTACGATTTCAAGTAGGAGAAAAAAAAAAATAGGACATGATTGGACGAAAGTATTTTGTAATCAAAGTATGATTGAAAAGATTGTGTATGTTTACTTACAAATCATTAACAACATATTTCTCAAGATATTGTATTGTTTGTTTCAAATAATTTCGTCCCTTTTTAAGATCGTGTGTGTATGTGTGTGTTTTTATTAAATATTTTATAAATTTTGATATTTTTTAAATGAAGAAGTTTAATACTTCAAGACAAGAATTCAACACAAGATCTCCGTACTGTGGTAACCACCGTCGTTCCAGAACCATGTCATCCATTTCAAGGCAGTAAGGACGTATAAAACTAATGTTTTGCAATCAGAAATCTAAGTAAATATCCAACATTATGCCGCGGTCGTTTCGTACTTTAACTGTTACGAAATGACGTGATAATGATTTCTGTTTGATAAGTATTGTGATAACCTCTATATGTCAATGCTTTACATATTAATGGAAGTTAATGTTAGTTTTCATCGCTGTTTTCATCAATATAATCATCGCATGTTTACATCAAAATGTTGTTCTGCAAGGCTGACCTCCATGAAAAGGAAGTAAGATATGTACCAAGATATGAAAACTTACCTACAAAGACCTGTACCGTGAATTTGCCTCGTCAGAAACAGTAAATGGTATTTTTCGTTTGATGTGTCACTGTCATCGCTTTAAAAAAAAAGGTTACCTGAAATATGATTACCGAGAGCATGTCGCGTGCTCGCGTGTTAGTGCACTTTGTTGCATGTTTGTTAGATTTTCAGTTTACTTTTTACATAACTTTCCGGAGATATTACTTGATCGATATTTGTTACAGGTTTATTACAAAACACTTAATTCCGAGTGATTCCATCGTCACTCTCGTTGTTGTTTCTGGGTGTATCTGTCATCGACGCGAGTCTCATTCTTCAGTGTATAGTCATTGTGCCGTATCTTAAAAGTACATTATTTCCATAACCGAAATTGCAGGTGAATGATATTTTATGCATTATAATCGTCCGGAATAAAAAAGAACATAACATTCTATCGACCCCCCCCCCCCTCTCTCTCTCTCTCTCTCTCTCTCTCTCTCTCTCTCTCTCTCTCTCTCTCTCTCTCTCTCTCTCTCTCTCTCTCTCTCTCTCTCTCTCTCTCTCTCTCTCTCTCTCTCTCTCTCTCTCTCTCTCTCTCTCTCTCTCTCCCCCGATTTTCTGTCATTTGCAGCTACATTCGCTATGCATTTCTTGACAACTGTGACGTTATTTTTCTTGATAACATCAAAATATATTGTATCATCTGTTTCGTGAAGTGGATCATACGCAGAGAAATTTTATCAGCTGATAAACGTTTATTGAATCTTGAGGCATTTAGTTATCAAATGTTTTGTTAAATGTAAATATTGTTTGTATATGATTTTAGCTCTGATGAATTTTTTAAATTCCGTTATATACCACACTTACTAGAAGCGGTATAGATCACTTTTACCGCTTCCGGTATATACCTCTTACTACTTCCGGTATAAGCACACATACTACTTCCGGTATCTAGGATTATCGTTGGCAGTATAAGCAGATCTTGTCGTGAAATTTAAAGGTTGGAATATTTTAAACAAAAAATTATACAAATCAATTATTTTTTCAGTGATAGTGTTTTTTAGACAATTTAATTATAGCTATCACGAGGATTTAGACAACAGAATGACGATAATTTTAATAATATTGAAGTGTGATAGCGGTTTGGTATTTATTCAATTTAAATTTGTATAAACACATGTGTTACCATAATGACCATTATTATATAATATTTAATTATTTTACACGTGTAAACCGTATAAGTAATAAGTTGGCTTCCCACAGGTGCAATGATTTATCTAAAGAAACAGAATTTGACAATAATTTTAACTTTATAAATAAAACAATTTTCCTTAAACAATTATACAAGGAAACTTAGGGGAAAATAAGATTCTACAATGACCATTCGGTAGAGTAGTCTGGTTATAACAACAGTTCTCCCTGAATGTCAATCTTGGGGAATGTATTGATTAAGACAAGGGAAAATGGTCACGTTGCAGACTAGATTTTTTTTTCATAATATTTACGTAATCTAAAGTTAAGTTATATATCTGATGTGGAAAACCTAAAGCGAACAGTTTATTTAGTGCAGAAAGGTTGAAAATAAAAATATTTTTTTTTTTTTTTTTCAAATACGAAGTAGGTTACTTGGTATTAACAAAAACATCAAACCTGTTTTGCTTCAGTTTCTTTCCATTTTCCGCTAGAATTAAGTACATGTACAAGAACTATTACATACGACATCAAAAAATTGAGCTGGAAATTTGAAATAAAACATCGTTTGAAACATCAGAATAATAATAAAAAAAATACATACATCTTTTTTTTTATTTAAAAAATTACAAATAAATATTAAACATTAATTTTGGATTGTCATAATTTCTAATAGTTGAGATAAATATTAAGCTTTAGATAAACCCGTACATTAACCAATATTCTTCATGTTACATTTTTCAGCTTTATGCCGTATCTGTTCAATCACTGGCTTTGACACGAACCGGAGATAGATTTATAAAAGTTAATAACTTGTTTCCGAATCCGATTCGTGTGTGATTGTTTAAATATAGTAATCTAGATCTAGATCTAGATAGTATCTAGATAAATGAGTAAATAAAATAAGTTTATATTAAATAATTTCGGTAATTTTTTTTCTTTACCAATTACATTACCAATAGTAAGATAATTTAATGTATCTCGTCAGAAATTTTGAAATAGTACGTGGGTTTTACTCGGGTACTCCAGTTTCCTACCATAGTCGCCTCGCGCGCTTCCATCAGGGCCAACAAGAGTGATTAATATAAGTTAAAATAATTTGTTTTTAAAATGTTGTAAAACAAATACAGTTTTTTTTCTAATTTTTTTGTTTTCTTTTTGTTTTTAGTAATTTTGGTAAATCTTTCTGTTCCGTTGTACTATTCATCTATTGAGTGTATTTTACATGTGACCTGATTTTCATTGTCTTAACAATACCGACAAAGATAGATAAAATATAAGTGTACACAATATTGATCACAACTTTACTGTGCTAAATGAGGAAACCAAACGTGTTTATGTAATGAGACACAGAAGTTCTTTTCGTAAAAAAAAAACCTATGAATTTTCTGACCATATGACAGTCGGTATACATTGGCCACGTTTGTGAATGTGTATATCATCATTGATAAATTTTCAACGAATCGATCAGGATAAAGAACACTGATTCCGATTGTTTTCAAGAAGAAGACCCTAAAATACACTTGTATATAATTATCTTATATTGTTTTGTACGAATAACATGGCGAGACATGTTGCTGTTAAGGGCATCTTACAAAAAACTTATAGAAAAAATATCATTTTATTTCTGTTTGTGTAAATTGTCGGCGGCTGGATCACCGTGGGAACGTTGTGAGAGAGGAGTTAGCGATATCTGTCTATCAGCGAGGTCCATCTTGTTCTAACGAAAACCTAATGACCGATATCAAATTCAATTATCTCCTTGTTAATAATGCTATAATTCCATTTTATTACAAGGGTTGTTTATATTTGTTAACACATGTACACGCACCTTTAAATGGTTTACGGGTCGTGATTTACTCCGTTCATTATCTCTCCGAAGTCAATGATTGTTAAATAGCTAGTTAATTAGTCAATCGGTAACTGAGCAGTATGAGATGATACATTGGGACAGGAAATTATAAGCATGTTAGTACTTTTTAATAGTTTTAAGTAGCATCCTCTGACTGAGTTGAAACATGCTGAAGTTTGAGGTATTTCTGAGAGGAACCAGATCTGATCATCACTGATGTACAGGTACGAACCCATCTGGAAATTTCTTGGAAAATGACAAATAATTCTAAAACGCAATTTCGGCTAATGATGATTTGCTCATTAAAATACCATAAGTCTCGTGATAACACGCCTAGTTTTCTGTGATATGATCTTGGATGTATCCAGGTGTGCTTTACTCTTCT